CCACGGAACGCACCAACGGACCCTACGAATTTTTCCATGTGTTTGTTACATATCTCTGCTTTTGGTTTTTCACGACTTTTTCTGTGAGAAATCTATGAAAGGTTTTCTTCAAATATGAATGAATCTTTGAAATGACAGGAAGATACTGGGGGTCGACTCTTGTTCTCTTTCCGAAACAATAACTGTCAAATAAGTAATGCTCGACCAAATTAACTCTTAATTTGCGGAAGTCGCGGATCCGAGACGGACCTATTTCCGGTTCTTATGGACGGACAATTAACTTCCGCAAGTGAAGAGTCATGCGTCCTTATAACAGTGTGCCCGTCCCGCGCCCGCGCTCGGTGTGTTGTCGTCCATATAAATACACGGAATTAGACCCGCCGCGCGCCGTGGTCACAAACCGAGCCGCGCCTGACCTGCGCCCGACCTGCACCTGACTCGCGCCAGACCCGCACCCGCTGTCTGTGTGTTTCACGCTTAATTGTTTCGGGCGGACGTCAGACGGAGAACGAGAGTCCAGGGCCAGATTTAGCTAACTATATTTTTCCTAAGTTTTTATCATATACATACTAGGCTATCAGAAACAGAGAATACCATTATCTTTTAATTTCAGATGCAGGGGAGTCATAATTTTGAAGATTATGTTTGTGTATCTGTGTCTGATTGTGGCCTCGTAACTCTCAAACTGCTGGATCGTAAAGCGTTTTTTTTTGTTTGAAGGCTAATTAAATCGGGGTGGTTTATTAGCCATGTTTGATGAACATCTGTTCAGCTGTTCACAGATCATCGGCTCTATTTGTAGTCCTTTTAGGGATCTCAGTAATAAAATTAGTTCAAAAGTAGAAGAGCTCCTTGTGAAAGAGTTCGTCCAGGGAAGTACTGCCACCTTACCTATCTCTGTCGCCAAACAGTAATGTGAGCATTACTACGTTCCGGTTTTGAAGGGTGCTGGTGAAATTACAGGAACGACAGACTTGAAATTTGATATTCTAAGAAAATTCGATACACATTACAAAATATGGTAATATTAATCTGATGCTGCAATCAGACAGCTAGCAGACTACCTAGCTACTCACAATAGAACAACCGTGTTTCAACTCATGGAATTAGTCTAGACGAACAGTCAACTCACAGTTTAATTTAATTAGTTATTCAAAGCAGAAATCTCAAGGAAAAATCATTTAAAAAAATCACTACCTTTTCTCAAATGCACCCATTGCCACACCATCACTAACTACTGTCAGACTGAATAGAGTACGGTACGTAATCAGTTTGTTCCCCTCAATTGTTATGGCAGTATGACTTCCTTCATTTCCCATAAGAAGTATCAGACGTCCATAACCGGGCTGGATACTGTTAGCGGCCCGCCGCGCATGCGTAATGCGTATTATTGTAATTTGCATCATAGTATCTGACACCGATACGGTTTACCTATTCGTGTATGTATTGTTGGTAAGGTTTATGAATTGGCTGGCTGGACAGAAGGAATTTCTTACTATTTAATATTGCTACCTGTAAAATTGTATTACTTCATTAAATTTACATATACTAAAAATTATATTATAATACTTTACATATTAATTACACAGGAAGAATAATTATAATATAAGCTATATATTATAGATGTATATTATAATATAAACTATATTTACACTGACAGATCATATTAAGTTCCTAAGCAACTCATTCCAAACAAGCAGTTTTGTTTTTATTCGACTTGTATATAGTATTTGTTTATTTATAGTAATTTTAAGTGATTTTAGTTTAATTTTTTTTATTTTAATGTCGATTCGCCAAGTGGTTTTAAGAATAAACTTTTGCATTATTTAAATGTTGCTTAGGCTGTTTTAGGCCTCCCACTTAGGCTTATTAACTTAGAATTACTGTTAAAGGATTTAAGATAGGATTTAGTAGCTGTAAATGTCGTGTATGCCTATAATTGGCGAGCATTGATACTAACTACTATTAGTAATGTGTTGTGATGTGAATTGTTGTATATGTTTTGCTGTTGGTGTACCTTTTTATAAGAATAAATAAAATAAAAATGTCAGTTATCAGAGCTCCTTTATTAGCGAAGAACTAATTCTAACTGGTCAATGGGTACTGAATTTGATAGTAATGTGAAAGTCAAAGAGGTATGTCAGGAGGGTAGCAAGTGGATGTCTATAGTCGCTGCCTACCCCAGAGGGAGCCACTCATACTCACGTACTTATAATTAAATTCAGTTAACTTTTATCCTAGATTGATTAAAGCGCAAACATTATCCCAGTATTGTAAAAAGTAAACATGCATACGAATAACAATATACTTATGTAAAAGTATTATTGGAGGTGTAATGTAAATAAAATCTATTTCTAAAATAGACTTAAACAGATTCCAGTTTGATTATATTTCCAACTGAACAGAGCACACTCAGTACGGAACATTGTTACAAAAAGTTTTGGGAATTGTTAATTTGCTCATTCATCTAAAAATAAAGAGCATACACATGGAGAGATGAGTCATGCTTAGATATTTTGGTCATTACAAGTGATATTCAATTATAGAATGATTATTTTATAAAACCGTCTATTACAATATTCCAGCAAGCTGTAGTAATCCACCCTGCTGACGAACTACAGGCACATGAGATTTGAATTTTGTTTTAGGATGACAGGTGTATTGGCAGTGTTCCTCAAACTTTGTGATTTAAACTTTTGAGTGGCACTGCAACTGTTATAGACATGTTGCTTACCATCAGGTGTATGTTCATCACACCACTTGATGTAATAAAAAACAACATATCACGCGTATATACATTATGTTGAAGGATACATGAGTCATGTAGACACATTAGGTTCTTGATCATTTAAAAATGAGATTATTATTTAGAGTAGATGACTCAGTTCAAAGATAAAGGGCTTTTTGAGTTCCTCATTTCCTTTCACACATTTACTTGTACACATCAACACATGTTACAGAGACAAAACAAAAAATTAACAGTTGTAGTATTATAGAATATAGTATTGCATGTGCATTTAAACGTGTATTAATTTACTGTTTTTTCGCATTTATGTAAAAAACATATAATCAAAGTCATTGACTTTGCACACAAAATAATCAAATAGGTAACTGTCCTTTTTCTACACATTGCATGCGCAAAAGATGGAAAGAGACCCATTACGTCGGTTTCAAGAAGCTTATATGTATAAACTTCTTGGTCATTTTCAATTGCTCGAACCACAAGTGATTGAAATATTTAGAACAAAAACTATAGAGTCACTTTGTTTAAATCCTATTTTTAAAATGATATTTTTATTAAACGTTAACAATAACTAACAAAATGTTGTTGTGCTCGTTTTATGGCTTGGGATTACCCATCAGAAGTCAGAAAATACATTTGCCTGAAAAAACGTTAGCTCGAATTTTCATAATGTCAAATGTATTTTTTTAAGAACATTACAAAACAAAAACTAATTTTGTCTTTGTGAAAAAGCATCAAAATTACTCGAAAGCGTAACGGTTTTATTGTAAATCGGTTTTCGGAATTACGGATATTTGAGTTTACGTTTAGTTGGAATATCGTACATTTCTTATAGTACACGCTTATTTTCACATTAGTAGTAATATTTGTATGTATGTATCTGCCCAACTCTTTATTATAATACCTTTAAGTGAATTTGTACAAAATTCGACAATAATATATATAAAAATTAATTAATATTTACGAGAAAGGCTACTCCAGTACTCTTGTGTTCAAGTAATTTTCAGTCGAAGCTCAATATGATACATTTTGTTGTTTCCAGTAGAAGCTGAATATGGTGTTTTTGGGCCCTTAAATTGTTGCAAGCAAAATTAGGCAGTACTGCAATGACGTTACAATTTAAATTAAATGTTTTAGTTTTTTATATTTCGTTACATGTCACTACGTTTGTATAGGTTAACTTCGGACGTTTTTTCGTGGTTTTTGTATGAGACCCGATGTCCATTTGTTGGTTGGTCTATGATCAAAGTAATTTCTTTTTAAAACTATGGTGTAATTATGTCAGCATTGTTGTCCTGAAATTGAATATATATAGTGCAGTGTATAGCGAATGTTGTGTATGTCTGTAATTGTCATATATATCAGTCCTAACCTTATGTCTTATTTTTGTTGATTGTCAAATACATACGATGTTGATGTGCCTAACTGTACGATATCATCGTGCCTAATATGATAATAAATAAATAAAGTCATAGAATTAATGAAATCCATATCACAATGTGTAATATATTGGTAAAGGCTATTTAAACAATTGTAGTCATATAATATCATTCTTATTCATTAGTTGGAAATATATTTTAAATATTTTCCAGTTACGGAATAAAAAATAAAAAATAGTAATATTTCTATAACAATACCTCATCCAAGAGTGTATATATATATATATATATATATATATATAACATGCTGAAAAGTTAAACAGAATGGGAGACATAGTGTGCCAACGGTAAATTTGAATATGCATTAAAAACCTACATTATATTATTATTGAATAATAAATAACTATACATATAGTATATTTTACATGTACATTTGCGTATATAAATATATACGCAACACCACATAACAATTCATAGATAAGAGGTAAAAATCTAAGTTATGTTTATAACATTTTATTAGTTTAGGTTTAATGTTGTAATTTCGGGAAAGTCACACGACATGGTCTTGATATTTCATATAGGTAGTTCCGGCCAAACAAAAATATATTATGTATTTTTACATTTATATACTTGTAATATGGCAAAATATACATTGAGTAATTGTTTATTATGTGATAAATTTTTGCTTTTCATTATATTGCAAAAACAAGCACTTCTCATTAGGTGTCAGTTATTTGCTCGAGAATAACTTTTACCCATATACCTAAATAAATTAATACTTACCAATAACTTACCGTGTAAAAAAATATTTACGCAATCCAGTTATGAAAATTTACATGAATATAGACACTAATACCAAGTAGTGGTTAGGCACTTACCATTTAGAAGTTTTGGTTTTACATCTGGAACAGCACCGTTTTTGTCTCCATTATTCTGTAACAAAGATTTATCCTTTTTATATCTTTAATCAATACCTTTTTATATGTATACTGAAAAGATTTTCTGTCTCAATTAAGTTTCAAAACATTATGAATCAGTAAGCAGTAAACAAACCATTTATTGTTATTACTCTTTAACAATTTGCAATAGGTTAAGTATTGTCTCTTTAATATTGTAATCATATTATCTTGAACATGTTGGATTGCGACGCATAGGTCCTGGGTTCGATTCCTAGGCCGGGAGAAATATTTGTATGCCTACAATTGTTTCTCTCCTGAAATTGGGTGTAATTTGTGGTTGTCTATCTGTGTCTATGACACCCACAATATAGGGTTTTTCTAGTGCAGGGCTATGACTGTGTGCATTATCATTATTATCACAGTTGCATAATCCACAAAGGTACTAAATAACAAACCCCTTAAAGCTGTTATGTCAAAAAGATATATGTGAATAAATAAACTTAAGTACATGCACATACACATATAGCCTCTTAATGCTCCATGTATTTCAAAATGCATGTTATATGTGAAGTGATTCAGACCCAGAAAATGTTTTTTCTATGATAATATAAACAATGAATATACAATTCTACTGAAAATACTGTATTCAAATTTTAGCACAATATATTCTAAATGATCATAGGGTATCTAAAAAAATATATTTTTCTTTTAAAACTTGAAGCATACTTGGTTGGGCGTGTAGCATGTAACTATATTTAGTACATTTTAATGTACATTGGGCATTTAGCACCTTTTCCATTGTAGATTACTGGGTCTTAGGACGATTTTCTTTTTATAAAATATAAGTGCGCATTTGACCTCCATCTCACCTGATGGAAAGTGACGACGAAGTCGACGATGGAGCATGCACACCTAAATAATGCCTATTCACTCTCGATTTGAAAAGGTTCAAGTTATAACGTACAGGGAACAAGTCTGCAGGCAGAAAATTCCACTCCATAGCCGTTCGCCATATAAATGTGGAAGCACAACGCTTCGTGCGAATCTTTGGAATATCCACAACATAGGGGTGGAACCCAAGCCTACGCCTAGTCCCCCGGTGATGGAAAGGGAAAGGCGGAATTAAATCGTGTAATTCAATCGCACACTCTCCGTGATATATCCTATAAAATACCGATAAGCAGGCAACTTTACGGCGATGTTCAAGGTTCTGCAGCTTCGCCTCCACTAATTCCGAGTCACCTATAAGCCTCTTGACACGGTTGTCAATTGAATCCAAAGTGGCCAGTTGATATATATGCCAAGCTTCTATGCTGCATTTTTGGCCATGGATTCAATGTATCTGCCGAAGTTCAAATTGGCTGGTAGCTGGAGACAGTCGGCTATCGGTATGGATATACCACGAAAAGTCGGAGTCAGCTCAAAGGGACTCCGTTTTGTGGAGAATAGCCACGCCTGCGTTTTGGTAGCGTTCAATTTGACCAGATTGACATCGCCCCAATCGGAGACTGCCTTGAGCGTCAAAACCAAACGGCTAACCATGAACTGTCGACAAGACTGTATTTCCTCTCCACTGACCCTCGCATTGATCAAGTACCTATCTACAACTGTGCTGTCATCAGCGTACGCAAAGGTACCTGGAATTAACATAGCATTGATACGCACTAGAAAGAGAGTTGCAGACAGTACGGAACCCTGAGGAACTCCGGCATCAATCGCCATATGTTCGGAAGAGTGGCCTTCTCAGACCACTCGAATCGAACGTTCGCTCAAGAAATCCGAGATCCAATTGCAAAGGTCAGTGGGAAGCCCATAAGAGGGAAGCTTACTTATTAGGCTATTAAGTAAGCCTGTCAAAAGCTTTACAAATATCCAAAGACACTGCAAGTGCTTCGCCTTGCTTTTCTATAGCCTCCCTCCATATGTGACAGGCATACACAAGAAGATCCCCAGTAGATCGCCCTCGTCGGAATCCGTACTGGCGATCACTGAGGAGATCGTTGTCTTCAAGGTATGACAGGAGATGGTTGTTGAGTACACGTTATAGTCTTGCAGAGTATGGAAGTGATTGAGATAGGTCTATAATTCACAGGGTCAGCTCTGCTTCCCTTTTTTGGCACAGGTTGCACGTTTGCTAGCTTCCACGACCTGGGAACTATACCAGTCTCAAGTGAGAGGCGGTACAGGCGTGTGAGAACAGGAGACAACTCAGGCGCACCGTTACGCAGGACTATTGCTGGAATTCCAACTGGCCCGCTAGCTTTATCACGTCTAGATTCCGCAGAGTTTCAAGTACCTCTTTTTGACATCTCCTGCCTGCTGGATAAGAGGCAAGCTTGACCCCTATGCGGCGCACAAGGTCGAATTTGGCCCTACGTAACACGATTTTGCACTTCTTGGCGGCCTTATTAAAAGCTTTCTTCAAATTCCGAGTACTCGGAGCTTTGTGTAGTCGAGCAGATGCTCGACTACGCAAAGTACGAGTACTTGGGCAGATGCCCAAGCTTGGTACGCGGACTGTTTAAGTGCTTCAGCACAACTACAATCAGCGTTACACCATGGATGAGTTTTTTTTAAATATTTTCCTACCATCCCCCCGATGGGTATTATTCGGGGTCCTTGAATATATGTGTTTTCTTTGTATGTTTCTTTGTTTTTTTTTATTATAGTTCTTCTTTCTCTATTCACTATGTGTTATATATTTATTTGCATGTATATGGTTTTTATTACCTAACTAGCATTATATTTATGTAAAAATAAAAATTGTCAGCATTATTTTTTTTTTACCCATTTACGAGCTTGGGATCCATTGGGCTTGGGGTCCATCAGAGTATGGTATGTAATACTCCATACCCAAACGCAAGATCTCGACTATAGCATCAGCACAGCTCGACGAATCTCCTGAAGTAAAGCACGCCTGACACGGATATGACGCAACGAAATGGCGCATTTCGTCCCAATCTGCTAACTTGTATGGACACACCCGTCTCATACCACTAGGGCCCTAGGGGTCTACTCTCGATCTGCGTCAGACGTCCGTCCGAAACAATTACTGCTAAATAAGCAATACTTGACCAAATGAAAAGACTCGTGATGCGAATGAAGAATATTACTTATTTGATAGTAATTGTTTCGGACGGATTTCGGACGGAGATCGAGAGTAGACCCCCTGATCGGGTGGGGAGTATACGGATACAGTTTTCACCAGGCAATAGTCGGAAGTACCCAGTGGGGCCTCCACAACCACAGAGTAGCGGTCTGGATCAGTTGTTAACAGAAGGCCTAAGCAATTAGCCGTATGAGATTTAACATCTGGGATCCTGGTGGCGCCACTGACAAGCTGGGAAAGGCTTAGCGTTAACGCAAGTTTTTGCGTCTCTCTCCCAGCGTGATCGGTCATCTGGTATGGGAACAACCATTCCTGATGGCGAGCATTAAAGTCTCCCGGAATGACTAGTTGCGCCGCTGGGTACCTATGCTGAATCTCATCAGACTACCCACTTAGATATTGGAAAAGCTTGGTTGTCTCCTGATAGCCACTGTGCGATCGGTAAACACAGCAGTATACTGTTTGTGTAACTCCTGTGTCTACCAGAAGCCACAAAACAGAAAAACTCGGTGCCTCAAGGTTCTTGAGACGCTTGACACAGATGTCATCGCGAACGTACACAGACTCCGGCACGAGGTATGAACCTGTGCTCCAGAGTATACCCGGGGTAGTTGAGGTACTCTGCGTCAGTCGGACATCTGATCTGCGTCTCGGTGAGAAACAGCAGCTGCGGTTTGTCGGTTTCAAGGTGGTAGTGGACCGAATCGAGATTTGAGTGCAGACCTTGGATATTAGTGAGGTGCACTTTTAGTGGGAGGACGTGCAACCGCTGTGTAAACTTTTTTCCTTTTCTGTGACTTTCCATGTTTTGAGAAGTGAATAGGCAGGAGGAAGGCAGTTGAACGAGGCATTGCGTCGTGTTCAACCAAGCAGCAAGCTCACACTGCCACACGAGGTTACAATCGGTTTGGAGACCGCGGGGACGCCCGAGCTCCCCCGGAGGTGGCCACCTGGTCCTCCCCTCCGGTCGCCAATCGGCGAGGTGGAGCATTCCGGGATTTTTCGTTGGGTGGCGGGGCAGCCTTTCACGGGTGGCTTTCCCGCTACATGGGCCCCCAACTTCCCACTGTCGGCCAGCGGTGCACCGTGCTTTGGATCCCGCTAGCCTCCAGAACCGAGTGCGCAGTGTGGCAGTACAAGCAGCTATAGTCTATTCCAATAGAATTGAGAGTGGACGTAAACAAACAATTCTATTGGAATACACTATAGTGTATCACAATAGAATTTAGAGTGGACATAAATCCAGAATATGATAAAAATATATAAATCAAATAAGATAAAAATCCAGAAGTGATTTCTCCAGAATTTTAACCCAACTGGTTTGTTTACGTCCACTCTCAATTCTATTGGAATACACTATACAACTCGTCGTCAGACGCAATGCAACTGTTCAGACCCGACCTCCTAATGGCAACTCCCGAACACGAGTCGGAACACGGTGGAAACCATTTGGCGACTCGACTGCGTCGGGAGGGTGGTGACTAGTCACGGCCGAAGCCTACCACCAGCAGTTGTTGCTCTTTAGCACCACTCAGGGGTCACTTGTAGGGTCTCGAGGGCCAACCTACGGAAGCGAGCAACATCAACCCCCAAAAAAACAGGATATAAAATACTGATGGTAGGTGCATAAACATAGTTATAGCCAAGAACAACACGCTCGGCCTGAGGAAAATTCAAAAAGGAGTGACAGTATTAGGAGACAAACCAAGGTAATTGACGTGCCTTTAAAGGTAGATCAGGTAAAATGGAGATGGACTGTTAAGTAGTTGCCAATTGGTACCCACATGACAGAAAAGTAATAGAGGGTGTCAGCATCAAAGATGGGGCGCAGGAGCAGGCCCATGTTGGAGAAGAGTAGCTCTTGATAGAGCACAATGGAAAGATCTGGAGGTCTATACCAATAGGCACACTGAGTTACGAGATATAATGTAAAAATTTAAAATGTAACATAAAACAGTAAACGAAAAGAGTATTTGTAACTCAGGTTTAAAGGTTTAATAAATAAAATAAATAAGAACCACACAACAATCTAATCTGTTTAACAAAAGAAATAGTCAAATTGGAATCTTACAGTGTTTACTATACTTATTACAATCCATTTTGAACAAAATGTAAACATACAAATCGCTGACCCGATCATAGACAGTTTAGTGATGGCCAATTGTAATGGCAAATACAAATCAATTAATTAATTGAATGAATTGATTTGATGAATTGAGTCATACTAGCAGTTTTCATTACATAACCTATGTAAGAATATTTAAAATTTCCAAAATCTTAATTTTAAATCCTCCTTCAAATCTGTACACTTAGATACTCTCTTGATTGCGACTGAAATATTTAATGTACTAATCGAGTACAAACATTTTATTTGAATGAACTGAATGTTTTTTCCCTACCCCTTTATGCAACCATAGACAAGCCATAGATGTATAGAAGAAAAATAACCTCACTTTTGGACTACTATTTTTCAAATGAATATTGTTGGAAAAAATTATGCATGAAAGTGTTACTTATTCGATTTATTGAGTGATTGCATTGGAAGTTTAACCAAACAGTTTTGTTTACTTTTTGTTCAAAATGGATTGGAACAGACTTTAATAATAGTGCTTTAGTTACTTAGTAAAATAATGTGAAATCTTATTCTAATTAAATGTGTTAAGAATCTATGAATAGTAGCTGTTTAGATTCATATTATTGTTTTTATGAATTTCAAGGTTTCAATTCAAATTAGCATGTGACAAGCAACTACTCCAAGTACCTGATCTCAAACGCCTCCAGAACACCCAGGCCAGACCCTATTTAGAAAAATTCATTCTGCCAAATTGGTCCTACCGGGAATTCAAACCCGGGACCTTCAGATCCTAAGCCCACATTGCAAACTGTTGAGCCACTGAGGTCGGAAGTTTATTCCATTACAAAATACTCGCATATTTATTCACAAGATTATATTATAAATACTGCAGTTTATAGAGCACATTAGTAAAGTCAATGACAGAATTTCCCAACCTAATCCTAAAGCTAAATCAAATATTATGGACATAAAATGAAGTACACTCACTACGGGTGGTACATTGATGTAGCTCTTGAAATTCTGCACCAGCTTTTTCTCGTTCATTGTATGTAATCAATAGTTACTCTGTTGACCCAGTTACACCTTTCCCAGGAAAGGTTTTCACTTCCACAAGTACACTTTATATTATATTAAGTTGTAAAGACACTGATAATTAATTAAATTAGCGATAATCCGCATGATTTGAACGTATTTCACACAAATTTGATAACAATATCCAGTTCACACCACAATGTTTGTTCACGAATTAATCACGTAGAGTAAAGTTTTTATTTACTCTAATTAGCACCGAGTACTAAAAGAAACATAATTAAATAAGCCTAAAACAGCAAAACACACTGCCGTTCACATAAAACGCAGAAATTAAAGTTTTAATTTACATGCACCAGGTGCCAGCAACGACAGACGACAGATAGTTTCAGTGTGACTAGTTTAAATTGGTAAATTGCAAATTGTTGTTGCTGGTTAATTTCATTGCGCAATAGCTTATTTATAGATATTAAGTAAACAGTAAAAATTGTCGACTACATTTTCGAAGATTTGATTGTTCATTACAAAGATAATCAAGCCATTTATTAATCCATCCTTGCGTTGTTAAGGAAACCAAAATTAAGTTTACGATTACTAATAACGTTTATACTTTTTTCATAATGGCAATGATTCGGCCAAATAGTAGTTCGTTCCACGCATAATAGTGTGTGCTTACAATTATCGTCATATTCTATTTATTGAAATTTATAATTACAATACAATATTATAAAGTAAATTTAAGTAGAAAATCTGAGTTTTCTATTATTTTAATGAAGATCATTTAATTTTTCTTTTAAAAACGTAATTGTAAAATGATTGTTATTATTACGTCATGACATTCACGTACGCCAACAGCGTTACGAGGAACGTAAATTGACTGATTTTCCATGCGCCTCAACTTCATTTTGGAAAAAAGTTGTATTGTGCGTGTATGTCTCAAAAAAATGGCGAATGATAAATTTCTGTTCATTGTTTGATTATATAGCACAATCTTTAGCAACAATTTAGCAACTGTGTCTATTTGTTTGTGTATTTGTGTTGAAAACCTTCCGAGGAATGGCTGACGCCTTGGTAGAGCGGAGGCCCCCCGCTCGCTTCTTTTGCCACAGGTGTAACGTTGAATTTGAAGATGTTTTGCAGGTAAAAGCTTATTATTTTATTACCATCGTGTTCGTATTGTTGGCTTGGCATGGCATGACGTCCTTGGTTTGCCAGGAGCCACTGTCCAAGGTCATCCAACATCGATTTCCTATTGATTCTTTAGGCAAGTTTCGTCGATAAAATATGATGTTTAGGTATGCACGTAGGTGTACCAACACTTTTAATTGGTGCTGCTAGAGTGGAAGTCTTTCATGTGTTCACATCAATGTGCTGGGGTTCTGGTTGAAATTTATTCACTTACAGGTGTAATAACATGGTTTTCATGGTGACATATTGGTTATGATATGATCGATTACTGGAGGTTTTCCTTGTTTATTTATGATTTTAATGGATATGGTCAGGTAAATCTAGATAATATTGTTTAATTTACAAAATTGGTCATCAATATTACACAATTAAGTCCATATCTGTTAAGTTTCTAGAAACATCTAAATCATTAAAAATTGCAAGGAATGATGTGCGATGTGTAGTCCAATTCAAAATCTAATGACATCAAATGAATATTATATATATTTATATATATAGCAGGAAATACCAAACTAACAATGATATCATGCAAATTTAAGTAAATTGATAAGAACAATGCAGTATTGAAAGTGTGACAGGTGCCAACAATTTCACAAGTATTGCTTATAGAGTTATTCATAATGTTGCTAACCAGATTTTTCAAATAACTTTCCCACGGGGATTGGCTTTGGTCATGCAATATTATAATTCACCTTAGGGTTGTCTACTAACTGCAAAACTATTCTTGATTCAATTACTTACCTTACAATGAGTTAGAATAGTATAAGAATTCATATTATTAATAAGGAGCTTCAGAACAAAAACTGCCAAACAGTAGTTTTAGTATGTTTCAGTGAATAATTTATCCATCTGGAACAGCAAGCGCTAAATCCTCTTTCAAAAAATGTTTCAAATGCATGTATCATATGCGACAAATTCTTTTGAATGAGACTAGATTAAATCTAGGGTCAGCATACTAAAGCACATAAGTCAAAAAAGTGCTTCATTTGTTAACATATAACTATATATTTTTTTGTGTTGGAAGTTTAATAACCTCTAGAATAAAGTTCGAAATTTATGAAGTAGCAAATGAATTTGACTTACGTGCTTTAACCGGTAGATGTATTAATTTAAATGAATGATGTTGGATTTTGACTTATGTGCTTTAGTCCGCAGACCCTAGAAATTAGAATTGCAATTTATCAGATTTATCGGTTTTTGTTCCAAAGCTCCTAAAGTAAGAATTCATTTTGTAAGAAAGGTTATTCTATTAAATTTTTTCCTTTGTTATGGAATGTTCTCATTTTGTATGCTTTGTTTTCTTGTTATTGACTTTAGTCATTGTTAAACTTTGACCTCTTATACTGTATGTACATGTTCCTACATCATCAACCCAGTACTAGTTTATTGCTGGATATAGGTCTTCTCTAAGGCAGTCAAAGATTATTTATTCCATAGGTAAAATAAATTTACATTTGAAATCGTCACATTTAAGCTACTGCTCGTTCACTACGCTGACCTCCCTGAGAAGAACGAATTTTGAATCTTTTCAAATAAACTTAAATGCTATGGAATACACTTTGCATCAAATTTGTGTGGATTCTGGAGCCATGTCGTCTTTCCATACATCTTTATCTAACACGTAGTCTTCAATTTTGTAATATGATTTTTTGATCAAAGCTTTGGTAGTTATCCACCACACTGGCATTGATGCGGGCATTCCCACTGCTCCAAACAGTCCCATGTTCCAACTTTTTAAAATAGTTTGTATTGTTACTTCTATCCATTCCCCTCAAGACTCGAAAAGAATTGAAAAAATAAAAAATTATATATCTCAATTTCAGTCTGTAATTATTATACATTATCATTAATTACTTGCTACAGTGTTGTATGTAGTTCCCTTAAAACGATGGAGGGAGCTAAATCACTTTCTCCACTGTCAGACTGGTTGTATAACAGAATAAATACTGTCAAAACAAACATTTTTCAAACAATATCTACTTCATTTTAGTTCAAGAAATTGAATTAACTAATTGCCTATTTTTTGATGATTATTCTTTAAAGTTGCATTTAAAAAAAAGCTTTAATTTTGATGTGCTATTTACTGGTTGTGCAAATTCTCAATTTTTTTTTATAAATCTCATGGTAAAGGAGGAGTACTTACTGCATTACACAACCTTTTAGTTCCATGTTTAGTTTGTGTTGACTATTGACTTGTGAACCCAAGAGAAATTACTATGTAAACAATATTGATGACGATTTATTAATAGATGTGAAAACTTTTTTAAATCCCACTTTTACTTTGTATTGTTTTGTTTCTTTTTATCAAATGGATAAGAATAGATAAAAAAGTAAACAAAAAATACTGACTTATGATTCACTTCCTATTGCAATTTTATGGTAAAACTTTAATTGAATCGCAAAACCTAAGAACTCGATACCCGAATATGGTTTCGGATTTGGGAAGCCTTGCTGCCTAACACACCTATGTTTATTTCAAATACTACATTGTCAATTCCACGATGGGTTCCCTGATAAATCGTTCTTTTTTTTTTTTTTTTTTTATTGTGACTCGGCAAAATGACTGTACCGCGCCTGATGGAAATTACGAATACAGTCCAGAGATGAGAGTAACGGATGGAAAACACAAATATCTTCACTCCGTCACTATCATTTTGCCGGTCTGGCCAAATGCTTCTTCACACTACTTCTATTTTGTAAATCATTACGCAATGAAGCTATCATTCAAATATAAAATCGATTTCGCCTTTTAACACTGTTAACATAACGTTCATTCATAATTTCTAGGATTATACATGCCCATACTGCGCGAGCGGCTTCATCGAGCAACTGGAGAACGAGGCGGAAGCGCCGGCGTCGGGCGACGATTTCAGCGACGCTGATATGAGCAACCTCGATGATATGAGCACCATTGACGAGATGAGCAATCTCGATGACTCAGACGACATGCATCAGGTCAGTCTTTATGCCTTTTCTGCTGTGGCCTTGTTACAGAAGCTACAGTGCAAAATATCTTATGTATTTTGGAAAAATATAGTTAAATATTTTTTTTATGAATTGCTTTAAGACGTTCCAAAATTAACATCCTAGACTAATTAAACTCATTTATTAATTTCATCGGTTAACAAATTGCATATGAAATAGTAAAATTTACAACCTTCAAATTTAAACCCAAATCATACCGCTTACGATAAGAACGGTTCAAAGTACAAAGTGTCAAGCTTGACGTGCTCTTGACTGTACGGACAACGGCACATCAGGCTATACATTTTTGTCCGAAAATCGCCTCCATTGCAACAGAACAAGATACGTCAATGTGTAGCTTGATGTGCTGGCGTGTGTACATAAATACAAAAAACTGGGATTTGCAAGACATTTTTTCAACAACTCCTAACTAAAACCCATCCCACCCTGTATCGTGCCAGGCTCAAAAGTCCCCATTATACTGACAGCATTGCCTCGTTGGACTTCAATGTACACTTGCTGAACCAACCACGACCCAGAGCGGTGATAGCAGCCCCTGTCTCTGAGTCGACGACCCAACTCTTTAAATAAGTCCCGAGCTTCCGAACCCCAGAGCCCCGCCGTCTCGATCGCAACCGGTACGAAGTCGTACATCGGCTCCAAGGCAGAATACGGAACCCGCCACCGCGAAGTTTGTCTTAAGTGGGAGGCAGCAAATGTACTTACGTATGTTGCGTCCCACAGAAAACAGCGACCTTTTCGCCAAGGAACCTATATCAAACCGTCCGGCTTTTTACCGTCGATTCGGCTCAGGCCCTGTACCCTCGTACTCCGTCAGACGTACGTCCGAAACAATTACTGTCAATAAATAAATTTAAAAAAAATTTGCGTAGCACTATCTATGAGAAATCTATGAAAGTGTTTCGTCACCCAGTTAGATACCTTTATAGCTACCAGACCGGGCTAGAGATGTCTAAATTCACTGTAAAATGTCAAATTTATATTGAATTGATATTCAATTATTTTATGTGAAATTACTCCATTAGTTCGTTATAGTTATTAATACAAAAATCGAACAGTCAGAAAAAAATCCTTCGAACCGACGTCTTCTAGCATACAATGCCAGACGCTATACCAACTAAGCAACGGAACGAACCATTTTATTGAAAGTTTATAATTTGACTTCATACAAATATTAAAATGGTGACAAAGTCTGACAGTAGGCGCTACGGCAAAAAAAAAAACCGTTACAACCAAGAACGAAGATCAGGCAACAAACATATTATGGAGAAATTCGTAAGGTCTGCTAACTCGATCGTGCGATAGCCCCGGTTTGGCGAAAATGTCGCTGGTTTGAGTCCAGCCGGATCTTTGTGCTTGTTCAATCTTTTTATCAACCTTTTCAAGGCGAGAGTGAATAGGCATTATTTAGATGTGCACGCTCCATCGTCGACCGTCGTCATTTTCCATCGGGTGAGATGGAGCTCAAATGCGCACTTACATATATTTATATAAAAAAAAAAATGATTTCTTAAGATTTTTATATACCTAAACTGCAATATTGGAGAACATCACATACGTTGTTCCGATCCCGAAGTAATTAACTAAAGCACTTGTGTTATGGAAATTGGAAACAACGACGGTGCCACAAACGCCCAGATCCGATACAATATAGAAAAATTAGTTTCTGCACTGACCCGGCCGGGAATCGAACCCGGGACCTCAGAGTTGGCGACACCATGAAAACCGGTGTGCAAGCCACTCGGCCACGCAGGCCGTCAAACAAAGTAATTGTGTTAACCAAAGTCCAATCTAATATTATTATAAAGTCTATATTACACATATGTTATACACATAACTACTAACTTCATATAAAAATCTCCTATCTCGGTTTTTGAAATTGTTAACAAGCGATAACTGGCTATAGTTATCAATGACGTGGTGTGAATTGCTTCTTTTAGCACTTGTTATCTTTTGGTATATAGTTATTATCAGGTTTCTAATTGTATAGCAGATGCTTGTTAAATCTTTTGGATTGTCTGATGGAATTCGTAAAAGACATAAAAGACAATGATGACTGTAGCTTGAATGTATGTATGTATGTATGTATGTATGTATGTATGTAATAGTTTCGGTTTTTAGTCTCTGTACTTTGCTTATTTTTATTGATTTGTTTTTTTATTGTTTTTATACTATAAGCGATTGCAGTATGAAGTACTGCACTCCTGAAGTTAATAGAAGTTTTAATGAAGTTAATAGAATTTACACTTGAAAACGTCACATTTAAGCTACTGCTCGCTCACTATGCTGACTTCCATGAGAAGAACGATCAAGAAATTCTAGGGATTGCTCTTTTCAAATAAACTTAAATGCTATGGAACACACTTTGAATCAAATTTGTGTGGATTCTGGGAGCCGTGTCGCCTTTGTATACATTTTTATTTAACACGTAGTCTTCAATTTTGTAATATGACTTTTCAATCAAAATATTTTTAATGAAGTTTTTAAACTTAGGGAATTATAATCTTAATATATGCTCCAGAATCTTATTGTAAAAACGTATACAATTCCCCATAAAAGAGTCGTTTACCTTGGTCAGTCGTTTATCATCAGAATTTCACAAATTTTGCTAAAAATCGAGTTATCGCGTAACATACATACAAAAAAAACATACAGTCGAATTGAGAACCTCCCCCTTTTTTTGAAGTCGGTTAAAGTAATTTGTAATATTTTTCCTTTTTACAGAGTACACCGCCAATGTTGAACGATTTAGCATTTCTTATGTCAGGAGGCCGGCTACGGTAAGATATAATATATTTATTAAATTTTATTTATAGATCGTTAGCAAGCACCACGTGATCTGTCTGTAGCATATTCATCATCATTATCTAAATACGGATCTCCTTTAATAAAAAAGCTGAACCCCTTACGTTTTTTTATGTGATGGCAAGTAACGGGACGAACAAGTCGTGCGCCTGATAGTAAGCGACACGCCTGTCTATAACGGTTGCAGTGCCACTCAAAGCTTTAATATGCAAACATCTGAGGGGCACTGACACTGCGCCTGTCACTCTGAGACAGGTTCATAAGTCTCATGTGCCTGTAGTTTCACCAGCACCCTCAAAACTGGAACGCAGTTATGCTGACATTACTGCTTGACGATAGAAATAAGTAGCAGTACTTCCCTGGACGAACTCGTTCACAAGGAGCTCTACGGCTACTAAATAAAAAAAAACTTATTGCGTTGGTGCATTTGAAGTTGTCACTATGAATCGCCGTGTGCTCCAAAAGGGATCGATGAATTTGGGAACACATCGCACGCACACTTGTATGGTGTTTCTATACAAACGAATGACGTGGGATGTTGCAAAAAAATATGTCAATAATGTTTATAGTAATTGATGTTTATCAACAATCATCAAACTATGTATCGACACTGGAAACGTAAAACGTCTAACGTGCATGTGGAAAGCATTATAGAAAACTTTCTAGTTTTCCTTATAACAAATAAATTTTCTTGAAAAAAACACTTTGAATCGCTCTTGTGGAATATTTCCAAGGTTGCTATGTATCTGCTATGGATAGATTAATAAATGTTAAAATTTTAAATTCCGTATTCCAATTCTCACAAAATACCCAGTTTGGGGAATTCCCCACAATTGGCAACTCGCCAAGTCATAGACCAAAAGTTGTTTATGATGTTAGTAATAGGTGTAGTTCTGTGAGGTTATATTTAAAAATAAAATGAAAAGATATTTATTTCTCAACAAAACAACATACACAGTACAGAGAGACTTAAACAGTACAGAGTACCAAAAAACCGACCTCAAAAGTCATTCATTCTCTAGTTTGCCACCCTTAGAGGTGGAATAGTTCTCCAAATTTTCTTAAAATCATTAAAATCGGTTCACAAATGCCTTACTATATGCCAAATGATTTATAGCGTAACATAATACAAAAAAAAACATACTTACAGTCGTTTTCCTCCTTTTTTTGAAGTCGGTTAAAAACTAATAGAAAATACCATTGTGTGGTGTGGACAAAAAGGTTAAAGACTCAGCTTAGCTGATTTTCAGACTTGACCTGTAGCTAGCTGCACAAAACTAATATGCAGAGTGTACCAAGTAATAACCTACCTTAAGTAATAACTAGTAATAAGTTAAAATTTAAAGGCTGTCCCTGTAAAGTTTTTTATTTATTTATTACTTTAAGATTTAAAATTTTGTTCTGCTAGGGGTTCTGTATAGATAGGAGTCCTAGCTTACACCGTTTTTTAATATATTGTGTTATATGGGCTTGCAGTGGTGCTGGGCGGCGGGAGACATTGATGGAACAGCTGGTGTGGATGATAGGAGGCGCGCGGCCCGGCACTGGCGCGGTCGCCGCCGGTGCGCCTTTCGTGCTCGTGGGTGCACCCGGCGACTACGTCTTTGGCGGAGAGGGTATGTTTTATACACACAAGGAGTATTGTCATTGTCAAATAAATTGACTACAAACAATTTGACATCACCCACGGTTACTTTAGCAGTGATAACTATCATAAATCGCGCACAACCCATGAATAAAATATTCGATCATTGTAAACTACGCAGGGGCAGTGCGCCAAATCAACAATGCCCGGGCTGTTCTGGGGGTCTACTCTCGATCTCCGTCCGACATCCGTCCGAAACAATTACTGCCAAATAAGTAATATTCGACACAATTAAAAGACAAGTATCAAGAATGAAGCTTCATTCGCATCACGCGTCTTTTTATTTGGTCAAGTATTGCTTATTTGACAGTAATTGTTTTGGACGGATGTCGAGAGTACACACCCTGACTCTAGAATTTTGTTGTTCAGTCTCACAGTGTATTTTTTTCAGTACAGTTTACAAAAGTGATACTTGAAATGCAATTTTTTTTATTGACATTTGGATCTTGGATCTCCATCATAAGCGTCGACCGTGGCTAGCGATAGATAGTAATATAAATAATAGTCTTTGTTTGGAGTTGTGTAATCTAAGTCAAACTAAAATTATTTATTATTATTAAGTCCTGAATCGTAAGAAGAGTTCATGGTAAGGCCTCAGCTGTCATTAGTCAGATTTAGTAGGCTATTATAGCGTATGTATTTTCGATTTTGTATCAGAGTGATGTATCTGTTACGTAGTAACTACTAAGTAATCTGTGACGATACTTATTGAAGTTTATGCTTCATGTAGCGACCACCGCACTCCGGAAGTCGGGAGCGTCGAACATGTTTCGTAATTTTTAGGAGAAACTGCTCTCCTTCCAGGTGTATGTGGACAGGTAAGGAAGCGAGCCTGCAAGCAGTATTAATTTAGTAACAAACAAATTGGAATGTGTAGTGAACTTGGCCACACATCGAGCTATATAAAGATCACGTTTTTTAACTACAAGTTTATAACGCAAATAACGTACAATTACAACAAAAATGTTTGCACTCTTTGTATATATCTTTAGTTATGGCCCACTACACCTGATATGTGTTATTACCAGTAATTGGAATTGAGGTAGTTTGCTAAACTACAGAATAATGGAAATTCCCTTCTACAACCCCGGGACTTCTCGGAACTGATTGTATTTCAATATGCAGATTATGTTTATTTTTTAAATGACTTAAGTATTTTAATACGTAACTACCTAAAGAAACAATTATTTTATTGATTAACATTTGAGTACAAATTAGTATTTCCCGTTAAGTATTTGCTATAAATCATTATCTCAATAAATAATATTGTAGTTCTGTTGCTATAGGTATGAGTACCTATAGCAACAGAACTACAGTATTACAGAACTACCGTATTAAAATACTTTAGCTATTTAAAAAAATAAACATGAGATAACTATATCTTGGAATGTTTAGAAAATAAACAGTAAAAAAGAATATACGCGTTGATGACGAAATATGTATGTCCATATTAAGAAAACGTTCATACTTTAGGCAAATTAACTGCCTCAATTCCGATCACTACTGATTATTACAGACAAGTTTCTATGAATGAAATGGAATTTAATTTTAATTGCGAGAAAGTACCAGTCAAGCATAAACAAGTACATGAGACGATTTACTGTATCAGGTCTAGACGCGGTGGTGACGCAGCTACTAGGACAATTGGAGAATGCGGGCCCGCCGCCGCTGCCGCGGGACCAGATCGCCGCCATTCCCAACGAACCCGTCACCGCCGAGCAGGCCGCTACTAACACTTCTTGCTCCGTATGCTGGGAGGCTTTCACAATCGGTACGTACCTCCCTGCCATTCACATCTTCCCTGTTCCATCTCCGGTTCGCAAGAGAACACCCGATTAGTTGTCACCCTTGATATTATATGATGTTTAAATTTAAAGTCTATTAAAGAGTACCAATTAATAACCTGGGGGCCTACTATGAGCTCTTAGAGCATTCCTATTTAAGCCTGTAAGTTGGATTGCCTGTCAAATTCGTACTATGACCTCTCAAAAACAATTCACTGTCCATGCAGTTTACGTTCCCCATTCGAAATCCGTTCACCTTTTCTTTCATAGCAAAGTCGTATCATGACGTGCCACTTGCCATGCAAGTAGAGATCTCGTCTGTAAAAATAAGCAATTCAAAAAGGTTACTCCGTGACTAACTTTTTTAGATTTTGTTACATTTTTAAGAAATTTTGTTTAAGTTTTATTATATTCTCAGTTTCATAATTATTTGTTATCTCTAAAAGCTATATAGCTAATTGTCAATAAATAAATACTATAAACTATTGAGCGCTTCTTGAAAATTTTAGTTCGAGTTCCCAATCTTTAAAGTACCTTTTGTTGATAAATTATTGGCATGAATGTTATTGCAATTTTTAAATGGAATTTTAATAATTGTATTGACCGAAAATCGAAAAATAACTTTTAAATAGTGCCAAATTTGATTTCATGGTACGTTCCAATTATGTTATCAAATTACAAACTCACCTTATTAATTTAAATGATTGAAAATGACATGTAATTTTGTCGTACGACAAATTGTAAAGTACCTATGCTTGGAAAGTTGTCGATATTACAAAACAACTTAGTAAGTATAATCAATAATAAAATTAATGAAAAAAATTAATTATTCTCATTTTCAACACAATCTGTTAATAGTGCTTGCTCCCATGATAGTAACATCTGTCTATTTCTTTCATATGATTTAGTATGTAGTTCCATCTCGCTCTTGTTAGATGTCAGCTAGCAAGCCAGAGACAATAATTAACATTGAAAAAGTAAAACTCATCATCCTGTCATGTCATTCCAGTTCAACTTTGTGTAGGTCATGATACGAATTTAAGCAATTCAGTTTTACCACGTCAAGTGAATTGCACGGAACTTCGCTGGCTGCATAAAAGCTCATAGTAGGCCCCCTGTACATTTCTTCGTTGTAATTTCGCGGCATAAATTGGAGACGACGTGTTTTTCAGGCGAGACGATATCGCGGCTAGACTGCGGGCACATCTTCCACTCGACGTGCATCTCGCCGTGGCTGCAGCTGCACGCCACGTGCCCCATCTGCCGGCGCTCGCTGCTGCCGGCCGCGCCCGCCGACGCCGAGCCGCCGCCCAGCGACTCGTCCGCGCCCTCCGACACCTCCACCAGTACGTAGCCGCGCAGGCCCGCCCCCGGTACCTATCCGCTCTTTATCGTGCTCGCACGCGACGGCGACGTTTTCGCACTGGACCGTTCTAGTTAAGTTAGACGCTCGTTCGGCTCGGGGTGTCCGGTTCCGAGAATATAACCCCGCTTCATCTTGTGCCCGCAGGCCGCGAGTGAGCTGCGGCGTCGACGCGCGTAGCCGGGTTCATAGGTAGGTCGCTAGACTTTCGATTGTACACGTTCGTTAGCTTCCTAGTTCCGCCTTCGCTCCTCGACGATTCGAGCCGGTTTTTGGTTGCGGTAAACGCCACGTTACTTTTTGTTTGACGTCACCATCGAGTACATATTACTAGAAATAGAGACGAAATGTCATTTAATTTGTTTGAAAACTATTATAAACCATATCAGTACTGTGACAACTCCCTCCGATTGGCCAGCCCGAATTCGAAACAATTGACGGGTGTCGTCAATTGTTTCACTTCAAATCGACCAGTTTAACTTGAACTTTGCTATTATGGACGAAAATTGCAAAATTACTTATTTAATATTTAATTACCGATGAAATGGGATTCCGTTTGTTTTGCAATTAGATGTTTTGCTGTTATTACCACACCACCGAATAGAACAGCACGGCATTGAGAGATATTACAATAAATACAGAATATTTTTTGCAATATACGGAGACATACACTATATTTCTATATTTCAATGCAAACGGGAGTTGATATTGTGTTGCCAGGAATATTATGGCCCTTATTTCGTCTCTACTTCTGGTTGCACACTCGATGGACGTCACTGACCCCGCATCGATCGACCTCGGCACGCGGCGGCTCGGTCCGAGGGGGCCGGCGCGGGCGATCAGTTTGGCGGTTGGTTGCAGCGTCGCTGGCGCGCGCGGTGCTGCGCGGCGCGGGCGAGCCGGCGCGGCGGCCGCGGCGCTGGGCGGGCGCGTCCAGCTCGTCGTCGTCGGCGTTCTCGGCGGCGACGGGCGCGCCGCGCTCCAGCTCGTCGTCCAGCTCGTCCACGTCGTCGCTGGACTCGGCGCGCAGCAGCGAGCGCGACGCCGACGCCAGCCCGCACTCGCGGTACAACATGGACATCGACTTCGACTAGCCGCCGCAGTGCCCGTGCCGAGTGAGTGACAGTGAGTGCCAGTGCGGACGGTCCCGCGCCCACGCGCGAATCCGAGGGTCCCGCGGCGCCGAGGCCTCGACTAAATTCCCGTTTCCGTTGCGAAATTCTAGTGAATCGGAAGGAGCGATCGCGCTCCCGGCGTCGTGTCCGAGTTTTCAATTAGTCATTTATATCGACGAAGATAAGAGTGTGGTTCACCGGCGAGGCATACACGAGTATCCCGCCGAAGCGCGCGCGGACACTGCACCCCGTGAAATGCACCTACCGGGTTGCCTAGATATTGTTGCGATTGTCCCTCGTCCCAGGAGCAAGACGTCGAAGTCGTGTGCCTTTGATTTATTACAACGTACAACGTTAGTGTACTTCAACAACACTAAATTTCTGTGTGAATTCAAGCTCTTCGGCCCGGTGTGTTGCCAACCATCAATGACGCTCTAAACACGATTTAATTATGTAAGTGATCATTCATCACCATTTGAATTTGATTTGATAGGCAAATAATTCTCATTCTGCAATTTACATGTCATGTCATCTTGCTGAGCGCCATTTTTGCACTAAGCGAGCACACCGGGCCTTGCAAAACGTTACTCCTATAATATTCTTTGATGTAAATTTTGTAAATATCTGTTAGTGATATAAGTATCAGTTACTGATATTTTTGGGCTACCTAATAATTAGTCCAAATATTTAGACATGAATGGAGTGAAGTTCACTTTTACGCCGACTTTTCTTATAAAGTTTTTTATAAAGGGGTTTGTATAAGTCTGAGTTGATGTAGAAAAGTTCTGGATTGATTATTTAATATTTATTTATAGAATGTGACTTTAATCTAATTGTGTTTATTTGCTTGGGAAAGTGTGACTTGTGACGAATTACAGCAAGAAAAATAACATTGATTTTATAAAAATCGATTTCGTTATTTCCGTGCCGGAGCCTGCCGACGTTTACCAAAGCCGTGATCGAGATTTAAAATAGATAACATGACACAAAACATATAAAAAATAAAAGTTATTGATGTCTTTCTGTTAGCATTTATTTGTGTTTTGCTAACCCTTATCGATTTTTATATCACCACTGCCTGGTGAAAACTGAAGACTAGTAGCTAGAAGCGATAACACGGTGGTGGTGACTATCTCGTGTTATAAATGTAAGTTATAATCTACTACACGATAAAGCTAATTCATACACGTCAACCTGTACGCATAAAATTGTGTATATTTATATAACTTTTCAGATAATTTCACTTTGAAAAGTTCATCTAACATCGTGTTTGTCGCTCCATGTTACTCTGCACTCTTTGCGAGTGATATTTTGTTTGCTCAATGTTATTTTCCCAATTTTCAGAACGACTTTTTCTGTAGATTGTTTATGAATGTGGCAGTATTTATTTTTTAGTAAATAACATTAATAAGAATCAATAATAGTTTGTGTCAAAAAATGTGGCACCCTGGGCCTATGCCTACAAAAAAATAATCATATTAATATTGCTTTACCAAAAATGCTCTATAAATACTATAGACGAAAAAACAAGTTAATCAATTTATATCGGGTGAAAAAGAAATGAACTTGAGTTGAAAATTCGCTGTGACTTGTTGATATTTTTATTAGTAACTTAATTACTTCACGTGTTTGTGAGATCTAGTAATTGTATCTCGAATGACTGGTATAATATTTAAGTCGTTACTAATTTACTGCTGTTTAACTCTGTCCTATTACAAGCTAGTAACGATAGGAAGAGGTCCCCCTCCATTGTGTAACATTCCAATGTTACACAACACTTCATGAGTTGCGAGTGAAAAAACTACAGGAACATTCCTGTGTTATCTGTGAGAGTATTTTTATAGATAGAATATTTTATTTAAATACAAGTTAGTGTCGGCTTTTACGTACCACATAGAAGTAAAAGAAATTCTTCGGCTGCACACTCTATTTGTTTTTATAATAGGCCTTTTCATTCTCTATACTTACATAACTTGCAATAGAATAGCAAATATCGTAAGTTCCTATAGTCATAGATGTACATTTTGGTGTTGATTGAAGCACATTTCACCAGACAATAGTAGTTGATCTCCATGATAATCAAGCCTCTGCCTGCATTCGACAAAGAGCGCAGTTCTTTCACATAATGTAAATACAAAGTAAATTATTGGTGAAATATTGAACAAGATATATGTCAAATTTTAGACCCGCTTGGGTCTACGACTGAACTTTCAAGTGCTCACTTGAGGTGAAATTTGATAGTGTGATCTTGTCATCACCTGGCTGTACAAATATGTGGTTTAAATTGTAAGTGCTCGCTACACAAGTGACGTCATGTCTCTGTTGATTTGGAGGCGACCAGAATATAGATTCATATATATAATAATTAAATCCTAATAACGTTGTGCCGGTGTTATGAAAAAGATGTTAAGTACTAGTTTTAATTATTTAAGGCTATTATGTGTTTTCTACTTTACTGAAGATGGAAAAAATTTATACTTTAAAATTAAATATGAATGTGTAGCAGGTCCTACTATACATTGAACTTAAGTTGTAGTCTAGGCTTACAAATCTAAATTGCAAATCTTGTATATTTACGAAGCCTCTTATTAGAGCGGTTAAACACGGCCACATTCGCAACGCAAGCGCGCGACTGCATCAATACAAACGCACGATTGCATCGCTACTCTTGGGATGTATAGGCGATTGCATTTGCGCGTTTGTATAGATGCAGTCGCGCGTTTGCGTCGATACGCCTATAAATCGCAAGTGTAGCGATGCTATAGCTGCTTTAGCTTTAGTCGTGTGTAACCACTCTTAGGTTCTTGAACAGGTAATCCAGAAAGTTTATTTCGGATGTTGATTACTGTCGTTTAAAACTGAACTTTCGACTGTAATTAAAATTATTGGAGTAATATAAAATTGCATTACATAATTTTTTTGTGAAATTACTCCACTAGTTTTATAATTATTAATACAAACATCGAACACTACAATTCCTTCGAAATTACAGAATTCAGTATCTGTCAGATCGAAGGAATGTAATATTATTTTAAAATCTTTCCAAATAACTAAAGAAAGAATACGTTGTTTGTATTGGTCAGTAGAATGTCAATTAAAAATATAGGCTTTCAAAAAAGTGTACAGTTCAGTCTCTTCCCATGTAAACTACAAGTAATTGCAAAGCAAAAATACACCTTTGGCAAGAAGAGATGAACGTGGAATGTTGATATTGAAAGTTATTCAGGTCGATTCAGAATTTCACTCTTGTTAGTAATTAACTTCCATCGAATTTGTAAATCAAGTCCATTACAGTGGGGATAATACGACTCACTTCTGACCACGGAAACAGTCTTTAGGGTTGAACAGTATTCGGCGTTGTATCTATATATTGTAAAGGTAAAATATCAAAGGCCATTGATCGGTATTTTTTCAATACTTTTTTGTACCTTTTTTATAACACCTGTGCATTTGACAAAAACCATTATGTTTTAAAATGCAAGTAGAACCTTCCAAATGGATTTCGTGGTGTATTTTTTTTATTTAAAAATTAATTGATATGGAACTTTGTCACACTAGATTTTGCAATTTGTACATAATGTCGAAGTTATGTCCTATAAGTATATAAGTAACCAAGATGTAACTGAACGTGTGGCCTTATGTACAATGTAAGAACTAAACAGTTTGTTATTGTCATAGTTTCATATCAAAATAACTAATTTTGACAAACTTTTTGTTACATAAGATGTATACAAGATAGATGTAGCAGTTTGTAAAAACGTAAAAATTACTAAGAAAGTGTAAATGTTAATTAATAATAAATTTAATGTAAAGTTTTCAAAATAAATACAGGCATATTAATAAGTGGCGTTACTTATTTACCGGTTTGTAATTTTACGTATGGAATATAGAGTTTTAACAGTTAAATATAAAAATCACTTGTACAAGGTAACATCGAAGTTTCTCCCGTAGTTACCTTCTTAGAATGCGTTGTGTGCATAGTTTGCACCGCATATAAAGTTTGATGAACCATAACGAGTTTGTTAATGGAATCCTGAGAATGTATTTGAAAAAAAAAAAAAAATTAAATTGAACGGAAAGTACCAGGCGGTCATCGGCAGGTAGGCAATTAGGGGCACCGGCAGATGTGCGAACACGTGCGTCGCCCGCTGCCGTTGCGGGCTGACCTTACTATCGTGGTCCTTCGAAACCGATTAAAAATACAACACTCCATAAAACCGGGCCCGGAAATTCTTGAACCTTTTATTTACGAATTTTTGGAAATGTTTATTTATAGATTTCCTTCACATAAACGAGTAATAAGGGAAGGGTATAAAAATCGTATGTAAGTATAAATATTGGATTTCGACCTAGGTCTGTCCTTACGTAAGTAAAAACCTTTGACGACGTGGGCGTTCGATATAAAACGAGGTAAACACCCTCTCTGGCATGTTGATTCACAGCGTCATTTTATAGATAGAATTTTAATAGCCATGACCCTGAATAATGCGACAAGCGGTGAGCGCAAAACGACAAAACTAAGTTATGTCTTTGACCCGCACGGGTAAACAAAACGAACGGTGCGCGGGCGCCGCAATTACGACCAAGGTGCGCACGCAGCTGACTCCTGCACCTGCCGCCATCTTTAAACATTTCTTTTCTTTAGCTTTTTTTCGCCAGAGTTATTGGCCTATTTTTTATGGCGCAAGCTGTTGAGCCATCTGACGCCCGTATGTATAAAATCCTTTGTTGCCGACCGATGACTGGAAGAAGGATTTCTCGAGGCTAGGATAATGAGGATCGCAGCTGCCTCGAATTAAAAGGTTCAGACCAGGTGTGGGAGTCCACGTGGATGTTTAAATCTTTTTACAATCACGTAGGTGTTCATAGTTTGTCTGTTTTGTTATAAGGAAGTTCACATATTCGGGTCTTTTGTTATTGCGAATTGTTCGTTTAGTATGCGTCATCTTTATAGAATAGCAGTAACTACGTATTATTTTCTTTGAAAGCTAAGGTTATTTTTATTATGATCTGACCTTCTGTGTGGTGAATGTAACTTTTCAACCGTTTCTTACGATGACGACATGAAATGTGAATGCACTTGTGTAGGGGCTATTAGTTTCGTAAAAGCGAACATGGTCGTCACCTGCCTTCCGTGCCGAACCGACTTTCCTGTAATTACCATTAATATTATACGAATTACCTTTATTTATGAAACAAAGCAGTCCGTTTACAATGTTGTTACATTGGTTAAAATTTTAACCAAATTATTGACCGTTCACGTTTTTTTCCAGTTTTGATTAAACAACGCCTTAGAGCCACGCCGATGGCTACCATGTCTTTGTAAGTTGTATTTATTCGCCCGGTTTCTTTGGCTTATTGAAGAATATGCAATTTAATGACATGAGTGGTCTCTGTAAGTACTGTATACCTAAACAGCTTTGTAGATTATCTAAGAATCTTAAATATATTTTAAATAAATTTATTAAATTAATTTTACTCCACAAAGGTCACCCCACTAAAGTATAAAAAAATCATGCCCACGGCGGCGGCGTACAGAAATTACAAAATTGGCTTGATTTATAGAAAAATTGTACTTTACAATGGTATGAGTTACTGTGGGTACGGGGAATTATGGAATAAAAAAAAAATTATATAAAAAACGTATGTTGGTGCAAAATATTTGAGTGTTTTGTATTTATTGTTTATCACCCAGATAACGAGTTCGGTTCTATTCCTGCTA